AAGACCTTTGGAAGAAAAAAGTCTGGAGAAGTAAATGAATAAGGCATTTTTCAGTAGGAACTAGGTGATCAGTAGAGGTGGTCTCCAGGCTCTGGGGCATCACCTTGGACAGCCTGTCAGACACTTGAGTCATAGTTGTCAAATCGGACAGGCACAGATCTGAGATTTTCCAAAGTATTAAGTTTCACTAAATAATTATGAGAACATGGGAGGACATAGACCTTAGGAGGGTAGGAAATGCTTGAGAGCCCCAACACAGTTCTCGGGCCCTCTCTGGCAACGTTAGTATGCTTCTACTTTCTGGGCCAGATTCATTAATTTCTGAGTTCTACAAATTATGCATATGATCATTCACACAGAAGGAAACAGTGTTAATCAAAGTACATTTCCATTTTATATTCTGAGAGTAAATTACATGAGATTTTTCTTGTATACACAAACTCTAAGTTTATTTGACATAAATATGCTAAAGAGATCAATTGCACACTGTTAAAATCATACTTCAGATGAACTGTATCTCAAAAGCACCATTAGTTTATTTGCTAGGAAGTCTTTCATTAGCATATTTTTCAAGATTTGTCTGATTCAATTTCCTGCTTCCATTTCTAAGGAAATCCCCTAAAAGAGACAATAGTACTGAGCCAATCTCAAAACATTTCTTCCTCTTTTCTTACCTTTCTTGGAGGTAAAGGGACATAATTAGGAAGGCTTTTATTACTCCAACATAAAAAGCTAAATTATATGAGGATTTATTTACAATTAAATATTTGCTTCTTTTTTTATATATATAAGGCAAAAGATGCAGATCTGATGTGTTATACCTGTAGGGTACCCAATTATCCCAATATTATCAGCTTCAAACTAATTGTAGTCAAATGTATCCATAGCTTTACTTTATGAAATACATAATAAATATATATTTATTGTTAAAAGTATTCTTTTACTCCAATAAAAACTTATATTTCTGAGATTATTAAATTATTAATTCCTTTATTGAATAAGAAAAATGTTTTCTTGTTTTTATGATATATTGTGGGTTTTGTGGTTTCTACAGTTCCATTTAATAAAATTTTATATTCTCTCAACATTTACCTTTATAGAAAAGTAACAATGTTGCTTGTCAGGATTCGTTTTGAATATTCCTCCTAAAAATATTCCTAATAATAATAGAGCAATTGTGATATTATAAGCCATTAATTCCTTTTCCAGTGTGTGATTGTGTATCATTTTATTTATCTTTTCCTTGTTTACCAATTTCAAACCCATTTCACATTTGATTTTACCTTTATATCAGATTCTACATTTTTCTCATTTACTAAATTTATTTTTTTGCTAACACTCTGACACTGCCTCTGTTATCCGCTTCATCCATTCTGTGCAAATATCAGAACTTATAAGAGTAGGTAGTTGGAGTTGAAGTGGTCTTATTCCATGAATTTCTATGAGTTTAGCTTTCATTCTTAGCATCTTTGGAATAAACTAAATGCCAGTCAAAAGTGACTTTAGATTTATAAGGAATAAATTCTTATTGAATAACTTCTATAAGTTTGATATTATACAAAAAAATTACAACAGAACATACTTCTAAACTGTTCCTTAGTATTTTAGATACTAGTTCTGTTCAACAAATCATCTTAAGCAAATGGGGCTGAAGATTATTATATATACCTATTACACATTTCCTACTGGTATTGCTAAATTTTGGCATTCTGACATGCAGAAGGGAAATACTACAATTGCTATTAATATAAAGCTTCTAACTATTGGGTCTTTCCACCCCTATGATATTATAACTGTATTTATACTCATTTACATATAAAAAAGTAAATATCGGAAATGTCATTTACTTGATATCAAACTACTGGTAACACTCAAATCTGTGTGAGTTCAGAGCTGATTCCCTTAATTTCTACATTTAACTGCCTTCAGGCAAACAGTTATAACTATGTTATAGTTGTAAAATTGTCAAAATAAAATACATTCTTTAAGAATCATCCTTTGAAGACTTTCTTAAATGGCTGTGAACAGTGACGGCAACATTGGGCACCACCTACTGCCACTAGAGAAATGGTTATGGGTAGTGCTTAGTCAAACTCCAACAAGAAATATGCTGACCTAAGACAAGGCAGAGTGTGGGGAGATAAGATGATCAAGAAGGTAGGAAATAAAATAAAAATCTAAATTGCATAGTTGATCGATCCATGTGTCCTTCCTCTGAAGTGGAGATAAAGGCCATTGCAATGTATCTCAATGCTGCTTAGGACATCTAGATTCATAATTAAATAGTTCATGTCATTCTGTGTACTAAAGAATTAACCACAGCCTTTCTGCTTCTGGTTTTTGAGTTTGAATTCTGGTACTATCTGCCTTCAAGTTAACAGTCTCATGGCAGTGTACATAGTGTTTTCATCAGGCACTGCTATTTGGTAATAAAAATTTAATGTTAATATTTTAGTTGAAAGATAGGTATTCATAACTAATACCTATTGATAACAGTATTAGTCTTCCCTTCAACTCTAGTATAACTAATTTAAAGGAAATTAGAGCAGTGACCACATTAAGTATGAAAATAATGCATACATTATAGACACAATTATATATATTGTTAACAAAAAGCTACTAATTTTTGAATGTTTATTATGCACAGGGTGTCCCCAAAGTCCCAAGACACAGCCTATAACTTGGATGGTACTTCATTTTCCGCATTTTTTACTGCCATCTGCCTCCCTTTGACAAAATAGTCTACTGGTTTAACAATTACAATAAATTATGGTTTAAATTTTTTTAACACACTACAGGCTGTCCCAGAAGTTGCCATACATAGGGGAAATTGTATATAGCTAAATGTACTTTTATTTATAAAATATTCATTATAAAATTTTACGAAATATTCTTTACGTGTTGGCTACCTCTTTGAAAAATTTCATGATGAATATTTTGCAAATAAATGTACCTGCAGCTACAATTTCCCATTTTCTGTATGTATAGCAACTCTGGAGATTTGTGAATTTCTTTATTGAAACTATTGTTAGTTCTCCACAACAAAATTGAGTACATCTTGTGATTAACATGATTTATAAAAATTAAAGAAACATGGCTATGATAAACATGACAAAAATAAGCAATATAAATGAGGCAATTTTATCTTTTCTGAGCTAATGCTCCCAAACCTCTATGTGTGACATCATAGGGTCCCTTAGTTAATAGCAGCATAATGCAGGTTTAATGAATGTCATTTTTCAGACATTAGGGTTGTTAATTGCTTCATTAGTACAATGGCAACTCTTCAGTCATTCTAATTTTAAGCAAAAATCTTCTACTTTCTTCAAGAAAATGTGCTATTAACTGAAGACTTCACACAAATCTAACTCTTGATATTTAATAACACATTTCAAGTGGCTAAAATAAGCATCTACACGTTGACTTTCTAGTGATTCTGCACCAATAAAATAAATCATTTTCTTTTTATTTGACTTTAGAAATCATCCCTTTGCAGTCCCACCTCTTTCAGATGGCATCTATGATGGAACCTTGCCCAGACCCTTCACCCTTACTGCGTGTAGTTTGAGAAGTACATGAGATCCAGAAAGGAAAAAAGTGAAGTAGTCGTACCCTCGTGGACCATGAGCTAAAGGAACCATGTGTGGTTATCATTTTCCCTGATAACCATTTTCCCCAAACCTATGTAAGAAACTCTTGATACAGGCAGGACGTCAAGAGGAATTTTTGGAAACAGGACTATGACGACATCATTTAGTTTTTTAACTCTCTCACATATTTAAACTCTGTGCAGCCCAGTTATGTAAGTCAAAATATTCTTTACTTTTTTTAAAGATTCAAAAAGTAACTTTATTATGAAGATTGAAAAATGGTATACTACCTCAAACATCTGGGTTGTACAAAAAAGAGGACTTGAAAAATTCCTTTCCGATGCCCTCCAGGACTTAGATTTCTGCAAAAATCTATCCAATGAAATCTATCCAATGAAAATCAAGAGATTAATAACTGTTGAAAAGGAGAACTTTATTGCTACATATTGCATATGACCCATATAAACTTGGGGGTAGGAATTTGTGGTGCAGTGTATTACAATTAGGCTCTACACATCAAAAGGGGAAGCAGGGGCATGGATGCACTTATGTTCACAGCCATCCATGGTTGGTAGGAGAGTGTTACTGAATCAGCCTCCTGCCCCATTAAAGCTGTAGTTATGGCTAGACTAAGGGATCTGCTGGTGGGTGAGCAGCAGTTGTTTCAATACTGCTTATCTCAAGGCCAGCCCTTGTTTTCACTTTTATATGCACCTTGTTTTTTCCTCAGACCACAAATTTCAGCGTGGAGTTGCATAAAAACAAGCTCAGTTTCCCTCAAATTATTCTTGGGTTCCAGTCAAGGTACTGGAGCTTTGAACCAACTAGCTAGTAACGGGTAACTCTAAAGCAGGTGTCTCCAACCTGCAGTAAGTGAGCTGCATGCTGCTTTTGCGAAGACGTTTTTGCATCTGTGGTGTCTGATATCCAACAAAAGTCCAAAATATCCAGGGATCTTTTTTTTTTCCTTTTCTTTTTTGCTAATTAGCTTTCCTTAGTGTTTATTTAATGTGTGGCCCAAAATAACTCTTATTCTTCCAATGAATGGCAGAGAAAAAAAAGGTTGGACACCTTTGCTCTAAAGGATTTTCAATTGTACATAGGAACAAGTTGCTCCACCCTCAACTTTTCCTATGAGTTGGACCCTACACAAATCAGTGGACATGCTAAGGTAGAGAAATACATCATCATCATGGGCATGACCTGTGTTTTCCCCAGTAGGCAGTTAAATCCCTCAGACAAGTTATGAGATGCTGGACCATCACTGCAATGCTGGCTCTGCAGCGAGATGGCTCTTGTCCCATTCTCCTAGCACTAAGCTCCTTTAGGTTGAATATCTGAAAAAATAGCACCCATCATTAACCCCTCAGAACTTAAAACCCAAGCCCCCAGACATTTGCACTGTATAGTGCCACTCAGAATTTTGTGATTTCTCCACTAATCTATCAGAAAGAAAGAGTTCAACTCTTGAAATCTATTCCCGATTTTGCTTGAAGTAGCACGAGTAAGCTTCAGACTTGGGGATCTAAAAGCATCCTCACTGATACAGTGATCTCAAAATCTCAGCCTAAGAAGCCACAGGAAACAGCAGCAGCAGGACTGGTTCACAGCCCCAGAATGCCAAGGTTGGGAGGAAAGGCTCCTGCCCAGAGCACACCCACAGGTTCCTCAGGAAGTGACAAATGGTAGAAATCTGGAGAACCACACATGTTAGTTCCTCTGCTATTCCCTGATTACAGGCAGTGCTAGACTGATCTCTAATCCCACTGAGTCAAACTCAACAATGGACCCATAATTTATTCAAAAGATTATATGTAATAAAAATTAGTTATTTGTCTAGATTTTCCAGCTCCTTCCTCCAAAATGGATAAATAATTTTAGGGTCCTAAAAAAATCACTGAAGATATTAAAAAACAACTGGTGGCCACAGAAAATTACCTTGTAAGCTGTTCTTTGTACCTTTTTACTTAGAAAGTTTTAGTCTTAAAAAGGCAAATATAACTTTCCAGAACAACTATTTTATCCCATGGGGTATGAACCAAATTGGCATAAGCCTGTATGAGAAAACCAGAAAAGGAAGAACAAACTTTGGAGAGAGACTGTAAACTCTATGAATGTCACAGAAGGTAGAAAACAATTCAGTCCTAGTGCAACTGAAAAACATTTGCGACACCATGGCTTGGTTAATACAGAAGAGGTAAGTATTTATAAACAAAGCAATTTTGTCTGTTACAACCCAACAGTCTCAATCATCTGTTGGCTGAAGTAATAGGATCTTATCGCAAGTAAGTAGTAAGGACATGTTAATGAAACATTTTATATATATATATATATATATAAAATATGTTCTATATACTCAATGTTATGGACATACATATGTACACACAAATTGAAAACTAACTCATTGTATCTGACCACAAATAATTGAAATCTTTTTGATACAGTCTAAACAAAGGTACAATAAATGCAGCAAATTGAACAATTTCATAAATGTTTTGCTCAGTAGTTATTTTGCCCTTTACACCTATTTTTAAATGTTCTTTATTTCCAAATATAAATCGGTATCTTTGCATAACAATGAATTTCATTATATAATTCAAGTAGAAATAGAAACTTGTAAAAGTTATCATAACGTATGGCAAGGTATTTGCCTTACATTTCCTGAGCATAAATGAGCCTGTATCTTCTGTTCAATTGTGTGTCCTCCGTGAGACATTAATTCTATGTTAGTCTGCTGTGATTGAGTCCCACAACAAAATACCACAGGGAGTTTGGCTTAAATGCTGAAAGCTACTTTTTCACAGCTCAGGAAGCTGATTTTGTTTCTGGGGAGGTTTCTCTTCCTGGCTTGCAGACGGTGCCCTTTAGGCGTGTTCTTACATGGGTGTAGTAAGAAAGAAAGCTGGAGTCTTCCAGGTTTTATAAGGAAAATAAGCCAATAGTATCAGGGCAGCTCATGTCCTCGTTTACCCTTAATGACCTTCTTTTAGGCCCTATCTACAACTACAGTCACATCGGAGGTTGGCATTTCAACATATGAATTTTAGAAAGACATGATTCAATGCATGTCAGGTCCCCAGAGTTATTTAGGCAGCAACCAAGAGGAAATAAAAAGCTTTTCGCAAGAGCCTTAATTTTTTTTTACTTTTCTCTTTGTCTCTATACATCTTTTTTTTTCCTTTTTTTTTTTTTTGCAGTTTTTGTCTAGGGCTAGGGCCAGCTCCCTACTCCTTGAGCCACAGGTGCTGCCCTGTCTCTGTATATCTTTCTCTCAGCCTCCCTCCTCCTCTCTCTGTTTCTCAGTTCCCCCCCCATCTCTTGCTATCCTTTCCTTTTTTTCTTCTTTTCTGTAACCTGCACCTGCTAATTTTCATAGAATGTGATAATGTGTTGCCTAAGCAAGAGGAAACAGAGAGAAAGAAATTTATAATGTGACTTGTCCAAGATTATAAAACCCTTAGTGTCGAAGACCAAGGCAACGTCATGTGCTTCCCAGAGAAAAGTAAATAAAAACTTAGGATGAAAAGGGCTCTACAACTTGGAAAAGGAAAATCTAGAAGATCCTCCACTACGCTGTCATAGCATTAAATTGCTCTCATGTCAATGACTCAGACTCCTTTGAAAACAGGCTCTTTCATAGCTCTTCATTTTCTGAGAGTCATAATCTTACAACACATTAAAAGTGAATTGCGAACACTAATAAAAATGTAAATAAGTAGTAGCCTTTCACTAGCAATGAGCCTCTCCTCCTCAATGATATTCTGATAGCTTTCATTTCTACCAAAATGATGAAGGAAAATGAAATAGAATTCCACTGTCTAAATTCAAAAAGGGGTCTAATCTCACCAGGGAAAAAAGGTCACATGTAAGAAAATGACTTGTTCATTTCAGAGCGCTGCACAAATTCAAGATAAGTCTATCTTTAACCCCCCTGCCATTCCTAACAGGCAAATGCAATTAAATTTAGTTAGTTCCATAACAATAAATAGTTTCTGCATGTCTTTAATATTAAACTTAATCAGAATCAATGAATCTGTCATGGAAATGAGAGGAACTGACACCCTTTAATTACTTACCCATATCTATATCCTGAATTATGTGAAGATTATTTCTGAGATGGACTAGAAGGTGTCAAATGACTTGTTTTAGTTCAAGTGGAATTTTTTCTATTGTGTTGATATACATCAGCGTTGTAAAGACAAATACATATTAAAAATAAAAGGCTCGGTTTTCCTTGCTGAAAATAAGAAATTTCCCTCCTTTCCTTTTACTAAGAGCATTTGCTGTAGAAAGCCCATAATTGCAAGTTCTTTCTCCTCTCTTTGAATATGTGTGTGTGAGTGTGTTTATATCCTGTTGAGAAGGAGATACACGTCTGTCAGTTTTGTGACCTGGGAATATCTTTCTTGAGACCCAGGCAGCCATCTCTTTTAAATGTAAATAAACATCGAGAAATTGTACTCCTATCATCCAGTTTTTATGGGAGAGTAGGAGTCTAACTTTGGTGTACCTTGTTCTAAGTTCCAAAAGTGCCTTCTGCCATAAATATGTGACAGTTATTTTCCCTACTATACAAAGCCAATAAGCTAACACAGATGGTAACCCCAAACTTCATGTATAGTCGGAATAAAATATGATTGAAAAATGAGCCCCTCAAGTGCTCTCACCTGAGTAATAGATATTGTTTTTCTTAGAAACATGCCTGCAATCACTTGTTTCTGCTGGGCTCACGGGGTCAGATGCCTTTGTCACATTCTGCTGTGATGCTCATTCAGTAACACAACTGTTTTCTGTTTCTACTGCCTTTCTGAAGAGTTTTTCTGAGTTTGGGGGAGATTATCTTCTAAACTATTTTTCCCCAGTGTCGTACACATGTGCATACACTTATTTTCCATTTCATTGCTACATGGATTCCTTCTCTCGCGGGGAAGGGGTCACTTCTCGTGTTTGCCTACTTTTGTTTAAATGTGACTTCTTTATGGTGGTTGTTTTTGCTTTTTTCCACCATCTTTATAGTTTGACTATAGTGTATATTAGGTAAAGACATTTGCATTTGCCTGTGCGTGCTTTGAGCTGGCCAAGGCTATGAATACAAGTCGGCATTTGCAGGCTGGATGGTAGAGTATACAGGTGGCTAGGTTCCCTTTTTTCTGCAGAGAAAGAGAGATAGATGTCTCTGAAATCTTGACTCTTTCCCCAACTCTGTCCCTTTTAACAGCAAGAATTGTGGAGGGATGTCCAGTTTTGTCTTTACACCAGTAGGTGGAACTTGCAGTTAAGAGTTGGCCAAGCCCTGTACAATTGAATAAGAGAATGAGGCAACGGGCTGTACGTGTGGACCTCCCTGTCGATAGGTTGTACTCTTAGTAAGAGCTATGCCTGGCCCTGTCTATCAGAAGAAGCACTCGGATGTCCCATGTGCTGGGCTAATCCCTGGTACTCTCAAGATTCCCTTCTTCTGGTTCACTACCATCATGGCTGATGTATGGGACAGATCCAGGTGAGGCTGTGTGTGGATAGCCCCCTATCCTCACAGGGACTTGAAGGTATGTTCTCAGGCAGCTAGTAATCCTTGGAGGAGATGGAGATTTACCAGCCATCCACAAAGAAGCTGCTCATGGAATCAGGGCAGTCCAGAATCGACCGTTTAATAGACACTAGTAAGGGTCAGGTCACTCCTCCTCTTGTCTTCTGGCCAAATCACTGAAGTCCCTCAGTAAACAAGTATGCCTGGGCAGCAAAATGAGACCAGCCTGCAAGCCTCCATGTCCAGAACACAGATTACTCAGATTGCTGTATTTTTTTTTTTTGAGGGGGTTGTCCCCCACCTGCACTGCAGAACAAATTCTCCTTACAGTTCTGTCCACGTGGGCTCCCTCTGCACTTGAGAGCAGTTCAAAAATCTCCCTTCCACACTCTCAAACATCTTGATTGAGTCTGGAGAGTATAGGATTAGGCCGTCAGACCTGTGGTTAAGGCCCCATGAGGCCAAGCACCAACCCGGACTCGGGAAGGCTATCTGGTCTCTACAGCCTATGGGAACACAAGCCACACTCTTGAAGTTTCATTGTGCAGTTTGGTGCACAGAAGGGAAGAAAAACACCACCACTGTCCACACAAGAAGCCACGATGGCAGCTCTGTGAGATACTGGCAGACATGGAGTTTCTAGTCCATTCCCCTCAGTTCCACTATGGCCCACATTATAGTGTTGAAAATTTGCTCAGGGGCACATAAAACCTGGGTTCCCCTCTTCCTCCTTGGCCCAGCAGTGAGGCAGCAGTGGCTTCAAGGTGGGTTCAGAGGGATGGGAGAGGGGAGCTCAGTTCTGGGCACAAGTGCCTAGAGTTTGGAAGCCTGTGAAAACTTCCCCGTGCTCCCCACAGCAGTCTGGGCCTCTGTGTATAAAGGAACTCCTCTGCAGTCAAAACTAACAAGGTTCCAGCAGGTGCCTGAAGCCCTCACGTCTGCTTACTGCCTCCCTAA